GTTCCATTCTCGGCCCCATATTATTTACATTATTTATAAATGATCTGCTTAATGTCTGCAAATCCTCAAATGTATACATGTACGCAGACGACACAGTAATCTATGCGAGCAAATCCGATCTACCGCAGCTTGAGGCTGTGCTCCAAGACCAGTTTACAGAGGTAGAAAAGTGGATCGCAAAAAGCAAATTCTTCCTAAACACTGACAAAACTGTCACACTGATCTTTGGAACAGTACCTTAATTACACAAATTAGACAATTCCCACCTATCCACTAGAACAAATTCAAATAGCACACACGCTGGAATCCAGACACACCCTTCATCTTTCCAGCCTTGTGTATAAGAGCTTTTCTGGTAAGCTCCCGCCCTACCTGAGCAGAATGCTCTCCTCGGCTGTTCCCACCTCCTATAACCTCCGATCCAGTACCAGCATTTTATTTAGTCTACCTCAATACAAAAAGAAAGCGGAATGATCCTCCTTCTCCTACAGAGCGCCGCAATTGTGGAACGACCTCACGCACACTTTAAAATCTTTCCCAAGCCTAAAGTCCTTTAAGAGATCCCTCTCTAAATACCTCAAAACAGAATGCATGTGTTATGGTTGATTATATATTTCCTACCTGTTCTATGTTAAATTTTGTATATATTGTGTATTACTATTGTTTTTGTATTTTATTGTACTCTAATGTATCAATGCAATGTTTTGTGGACCCAGGACACACTTGAAACTGAGAGAAATCTCAATGTATTTCTCCTGGTAAAATACTTTATAAATAAATAAATAATAGAATGGATGAACGCTAGCTGACTTAAAGGGAACCCAGACAAAATAGAGTTACTCTTGGTGAGGGACCCCGGGCACCAAAAATATCCCATGATAACCCAACTGGCCTGGAGCTTGGAGGCTCTCAACTCATCAGTTCATCAAAGGTACAAAACCTCGGAGTGCTGATTGACTCTGGACTATTATATAAACAGCAGATTCCCTCCCTAATAAAATCTGCCTACTTTCATCTGAAAAACATAACCAGGGTACAACACTTAACTCCACCGGATGATATGCCAACATTAATCCATGCATTTGTATCCTCTCGGCTAGATTACTGCAATGTACTTTACTTGGGCCTCCCAGAAAAAGACATCCATCGCCTTCAGACTGTACAAAATGCAGCCATACTACTGACCAATCAAACCTGCTCCTGCCACATAACACCTGTTCTCTACTCTCTGCATTCGCTTCCAATTAAATGGCGAACATAACAAATTAGCCTGCTAACCTTCAAAGTCTTAAATAATCAAGGCCCACAGTGTAACGTTCACTAGGAAACCCGAACACGCAGACAGGACAGAGTAGAGAGAATTGCAATACCGATCCTTAGAATGGTCGGATTATGCAAAAAGGGATAGTCAAAACACGAGCCGAGGTCAAGGGAAACAGAGAGACGGAATAATGAGAGACAAAGCCAAATATCAGTAACCAGGAAATCCAAATAACAAGTGCAACGCTCAATGGTAAACCAAAGACCAACAGGGCACTGAGGCAAGGGAGGGGTTAGCGTATATACACACAGTGTGTGTTTGATTAGCTAACCTCCAATTAGTGTTAACCACAACACATGGGAGGAGTTTCTTCCCTCCCTTGTGGTCTCTGAGGTCATCACTGTGTGCTGGGTCACATGACCGGGTGCAGCACACATACAAGGAAGCTACTCTGGAGCGTGCAACATCAGACACACTGCCAGTCTGGAGACAGGGACCAGATGATGCCACTCGCTGTGATGAGGTAAGCAAGGTCGCCGGGGGCAGGGAACCTGACACACAGTACTTGAAAGAGCTCCTGACACCCTACATTCCTTCCCGTTCACTTCAGTCAGCCAGCAAATCCTTCCTGTCAGTGCCGAGAATAAAGAAGGACTTAGGTTCCAGGGCATTCAGCCATGCTGCCCCTACCTCCTGGAACTCTTTACCGTGCGCAATCAGAGAGGCACCGTCCTTAAAGACTTTTAAAAAGTCCATTCATCTGACCTTCAGAAACTCCTAACTTTTATGTCTTTATGTTTGTATACTTGTAAAGTGCTTTGAGTCTCACAGGGAGAAAAGCGCTATAAAAATCGCAAATTATTATTATAATCTTTAAGCTATCTAAGGATTCTTCAGAGAATTTTTGTATTGGCAATGTTAGATAGATTTAGATTTAGGTTAGTGCAAGGCTTCATTTGTCGAACTGACAGTCAGTAAACATGCCATCTGTCACTTAGTCTAAGGTCACGCAGCATGCCCTGAACTACATCACTTTAAATGCAAAATGTTTGAAACAGAAAAACTTCACAACACAGAGACTTCAGCAGCTGGTATACATATCTTTATTCCACAAATTCAATACATCACCTAGAAAGCACTGACATGGCAGTTTTCATACATACAATTAAAGGAACATTATAGGATCAGAAACATAAACATGTATCCCTGACCCTATAGTATTAAAACCACCATCTAGCCCCCCCCTTACCTCCCTAAATAGAGTGAAATCGTATATGTATTCAAGTCTGCAGCTGCTGCCTCTGTCCCTGATCTGCCTGCTTGGCTGACATCACCACAAGTTATTATGTGAGCCAATCACAATGCTTCCCTATTGGCTTGGCTGAGACTGTCAAGGAGGCAGATCAGGGGCAGAGCCAGCACAAGTCAAACACAGCCCTGGCCAATCAGCAACTCCTCATAGAGATTAATTGAACCAATGCATCTCTATGAAGAAAGTGCAGTGTCAGGGGGTGGAGACACTGAATGGCAGTGCTGCTTACTGTACAGCACTGCCCCAAGAAGCACCTCTAGTAGCCATCTGAGAAGTGGCCAGAGGAGGTAACACTAGGCTGTAATGTAAACACTGCATTTTCTCTGAAAAGACAGTGTTTACAGCACAAAAAGGTAATGATTCTACTCACCAGAACAAATTCAGTAAGCTGTAGTTGTGCTGGTGACTATAGTGTCCCTTTAAAGAATTTACTCATAGTCTGATTTTCAAATAAGATGGATAAGGACAACATTATTTGGATTAGTGATATTAATATCATGTAAATGTCTGGTCAAAATATTAAAATAACATACCTCCTTTATTTAGGTTGGACAAATACTATTTTTGGCCCAAATCCATCTGTGGCTTGTTTTTATCCTAATGTCCCTCTTTTCTAAAAGCTCCACATGGCTGTGTAACATCTCCAAAGTAGTAATACTCTCAGCAATGTGCCTTTAAGCTACAATAATGAAGAATGAGGAAAGCAACCAGTGGAAGAATTAAGAGGGAGCACAGTAACTGAGATGCAAGGCAGAAGGGGTTGTATATCTGGGGAGACAGGGAACAAAACCACTAAAGCAGGGATGCCCAAAAGGTAGATGTCCAGATGTTGTGGAACTACAACTCCCATGATGCTTTGCGTGCTTTTAGAATGCATGGGAGTTGTAGTTTTAAAACATCTGGAGATCTACCTTTTTGGCACCCCTGAACTAAAGGGATAGGGGAGAGGGATGTGAGGGATGTGGGTAGCTACCAGACAGAGCAGCAATAGCATTGGAACTGAGTTACAAGCAAAAAAACAAAAATACAAGGGAAGAGAAGTGGCAGAGCATTTGGGAGATTTTTAAGGATATATCGGAATTATGTGGTTCTTTCTTCTTTTATTTTTATTTTATTTGAATGTTTTTACAATCTATTCTCACCTCTTCCCCCATCCTCCACCACTATGTTATTTGATTCTGTTATCTTAACACGTCACATTCAGCATTCATCAACATCCTTCTAAAGAAAAACAAAAAGGATTTATTTTTATGTTTATTTTTATTGCAATACATTGTACCTTTTGAAGGGTGGTTGCTTCTTACATTTGCAAACCTTAGTTGTCCTTATTCATACCTAGGCCTCAATTTAATATTTTTAGATAAACATTTATGGCTATTTTAATATGTTTGATTTGTTAATATTTTTATATGTGATTTATTTTTTGATATTTTAATATTTGTTTGAAAAAAAAAATAATTTTACATGTTTATCCAAAAATATCTGTCCAAAAAGCTTGCCCAAAAATATAAAATCGAGGCCTGAATTGGAAACAAATCCAAACATTTTATTCAAAGCTTCAGGCCCCATGATGCTCTGTATTTCTGCTCATGTTTTCCTTCTATGGATTGACAGCAAACGTCTCTTGTCATGTGAAAGCAATTCTATACTCTGGATATCCTAAAATAAAAACAATTACCATACAGCTCTTGTAAAACCACAACACAGGGTGTGTTTATCACGCTGGTTTCACACCAGAACTGAAAGTTACAAAAGGTCAGTATGCTTCGCTCCCACAGAACAATCTTAAACTGAAACTGCGCTGTAAGATGACAAGTTCACTTTTGTCAAACCAGTCTTTAATGTATGCATTGTAACAGCCTCGTTTACTAAACAATGTATACATTAACGCAGGAATATTTCTTTAAAAATTGCACTAGACATGTGATATCCCAAGCTGTAGATGGTATCTTTGTCCTGTTGAATGAATATTCTGCTTTGTGTTCTCATTTCCCCAATGTCAACATTTTACTTCTTTTTTCAACTGATTTATTCTGACTAATAATTTATCAATCACAAAAATATGATTGTGCTACCTATATCTGCTTGCCTTGATGTTACAAGAGGGAAAGAGAGTTGTACCCGTATTGCCCAGCAGAGGGCTCTCTCCAGCATTAATCTTTGTTAGTGTGCCATCATAGTCCCCTTGCTCAGAGAATAAGGACAGATTTAAACCCACATATTGTTATAAACGCAGAAAGGGTTAATGGGATGTTGGATAGCTAAGTGATTTGATGCAGAATATTTACTGTTTTATTCTTATTTAGTATTTCTTTTGAAATCTGAATTGCTGTCTGCAAGGTTTTTATTTGCACACATAATATTAATTCCAATATTGATCATTTTCTTAGCATTGCCGGCTTAGCTACAGGGTTTCTTTTGGCCTCTGTATCTTCGGTTTAAGTCTTCTGGTCTACATGCAATCTGAATGTTTTATCAAAATAAATTTAATTGGTAATATTTATACTGATTTCACCCATCAATATACCTGTAACTCACAATACTTAGCCCAGCACCTTATTGAAAGCACCTTCAACTGATATATATATTTCCAATTTCTTTTAAAATTATTTTTATTAACACATTTTTCATAATAAAACAAATTCAAAACAAAATTTATAACAATTTAAACAATATTAATATATTAACGAGGGAAGGGTTTCCATCTTTACATATCAAAAATTAAAATGTCAAATGTTTACATAAATAAAATATAATACAGAATGTAGCAATTTATACGCAAAAAAATTAGAACAATGGTTATCTCATATGCAATCATAGGGTGTGCGGAATTATTTGTATGTTATATTTCTTCTTTATTCCAATTTTTATCATGCATTAACTACAATTATGCCCTTTCTATATTTGTTTGTGTGTTTGTTTGTTTGTTTGTTTGTTTGTTTGTTTGTTTATTGATGTGATGGCATTATTCAGTACCAGAGTTATCCCTAAGGAATCAGTTTTGTGCTGTGATAGTATGTGAGCACTGGGCTATATCGAAACTTCAAAAAAGCTATATCAAAAAAAGGTGTAAGGTTAATTCATTACAGCAAAAATGGTAGCAGTGATTCATTGCCGAGCGCTCACCGCCTGTCAATCCAAGACATGCACGCACATAAAGAACAGATATTTGGTAATGATAAGGAAGGAAGCAGAATTCTTCAATATTATAGGCAAAGGCGGAGTTTAGGGTTCTCAAGAAAAAAGTCTGAGAAATACGAGAGGGATTTGTCCATCTTCCTTATAGCATGGCACTTATAATAGGCTGTAGTGGCTATGGTATTCAGACTGTACCTTTAAGGACCTTTAAGGAATTTAAATAGATTAAAAGTGGACCTGTCACATCAATTCTGGCCCAGACGGATATCAAAAGTGTTCCTGTGAATAATCTAATCAATGATTCTCATTCACCTGGGAAGATGGACGTAAAGAAACATCAATACTTAGCCTGATGTCAGTTTAGCTGAACCTTAGGTTAGTAATTAGATTAGCTAAGTGAATCTAAGCAAATGAAAGGAAGAAAAGCCAAGTATCGAAAGATTCACATTTTAACTAAACACAATGGCCAGTTCACCAGGTGCGACTGAGAAAACGAACTCTTTGCCAACTGGGAAGTGAGAGCCAGCTGCATTATAAATCAAACTTAAAAACAGGTAATATTTTAAAGAAGTAAAAATGTATATGTCATATATACGAAACACTATTTTAAAAAAATGTGTTTTACAAAACATCAAAGTGTCCTGTTTCTGGGAAACTTTACCTCTTCTTGCTATCTATGTGCTGTATTACCCCATCAGTGTCTCCACCAACCCCCATCATTGCTGAGTTCTCAGGAATACAGGAGGAAATAGCATGTAAAACGTCTATTTTGTGTTTGCAACACCCAAACTGTGCGTTTGCAGTTTGTTAACCATTGGCTGAAATTCAGTGCATCTGCTACATAGAGATTCATTGCTCTCTGATGCCCCTCCAGTAGACTACATCTCCTAGATCCATGCTCCAACCTGAATGCTGGGGGCATATATTTCAGTGCTGATTTGTTCTTGGTGCACCAGAACTGCAAGTTTTCACAGACTATATTGTACACAGACAAAAAAACAAGTTCTGCGCTCAAACTCCCACTACTCCTGGGCGACAGCAACGAGTATAGTACACATCAGCCCCAATGCATACAGTTAAAACCAAAGAAAAAAGTTACCTGCGCTCTTTCCCAAAGTCCTACACTAACCATTCACCTTGCTTCCTTGAGCTTCTGGCAAAGATATCTCTAATGAGACAGAAAGGGGTATTTTTTATACAACATTGTACAATGCTGCCGCCCATCCCATGTGTTCCCTATTAAGGGTTAATACGCATATAGGGGTTTATATAAAAAATACCCCTTTCTGTCTCATTAGAGATATCTTTGCCAGAAGCTCAAGGAAGCAAGGTGAATGGTTAGTGTAGGACCCACCTAAGTGGTTTGCCCTGATGTGGCAGGTGGGCATTACCTCTCATGTCCATTGGAGTAACTAAATAACCTCCATTTGTTTAATTATACATAAGGATTTGGGAAAGAGCGCATGCAACTTTTTTTCTTTGGTTTTTACTATATTTTACACAGAGCCAGTATTACTCTAAGACAAAAGGGACATTTTCTGTAGGCAGTATAGGCCTATAGTTTACATGTATAATACTACCTCGTATGCCCCTGTCAAAAATACCTTATTGTATTATAATAAGGGTCTTTTGACAAATGTAAGTAGGTAAGGAAATATAAGGGAAGGGCATGTAGCTGTATTGGAGGGGGTAGATGGACTGGAATACAATTAATTATGGAGGAAGAAAATGGAATTGGTGTATGGTTCAATGGAGAGTGAGACAAAAGATCATAGTTTTTCGGGAGAGCTTTAACTCTATGGGACAAAAGAGGACAGGAGGTATGGATGACAGAAAATGTAAAATAGGAACGGTATAAATGGCAGCTGAGGAGTGAAAGGTAGTGCAGGAGATCTTGCTGAATGGGCAACGAGAGATGGTGAAGAATATCTAGCTGACTGGGGAGTGAGATGTGGTATGGGAGATCTAGCTAAGTGAGGAAAGAGAGGTGGTATGGGAGATCTAGCTAAGTGACGAGTGAGAGGTGGTATGGGAGATCTAGCTAAGTGACGAGTGAGAGGTGGTACGGGAGATCTAGCAAAGTGACGAGTGAGAGGTGGTACGGGAGATCTAGCAAAGTGACGAGTGATAGGTGGTATGGGAGATCTAGCTAAGTGACGAGTGAGAGGTGGTATGGGAGATCTAGCTAAGTGACGAGTGAGAGGTGGTATTATTATTATGATATTTATAGAGCACCGTCAAATTCCGCAGCGCTTTACAATGGGTAGACAAATAGACATGTAGTTGTAACCAGACAAGTTGGACACACAGGAACAGAGGGGTTGAGGGCCCTGCTCAATGAGCTTACATGCTAGAGGGAGTGGGATAAAATGACCCAAAAAGGTAAGGATAGTATTAGACTAGTGACAGTTGCAGAAGAGGAATCAGTCAGGAGCTATTAACAGTTTAATTGATACGCTTTTATAAAGAAGTGGGTTTTTTAACGATTTTTTGAAGGAGTGGAGACTGGGTGAGCATCTAACGGAGGAGGGAAGCGAGTTCCACAGGAACGCTGCAGCCCTCGAGAAATCTTGAAGGTATGGGAGATCTAGCTAAGTGAGGAGTGAGAGGTGGTATGGGAGATCTAGCTAAGTGAGGAGTGAGAGGTGGTATGGGAGATCTAGCTAAGTGAGGAGTGGTGAGCATCTAATGGAGGAGGGAAGCGAGTTCCACAGGAACGGTGCAGCCCTCGAGAAATCTTGAAGGTATGGGAGATCTAGCTAAGTGAGGAGTGAGAGGTAGTATGGGAGATCTAGCTAAGTGAGGAGTGAGAGGTGGTATGGGAGATCTAGCTAAGTGATGAGTGGTGAGCATCTAATGGAGGAGGGAAGCGAGTTCCACAGGAACGGTGCAGCCCTCGAGAAATCTTGAAGGTATGGGAGATCTAGCTAAGTGAGGAGTGAGAGGTGGTATAGGAGATCTAGCTAAGTGAGGAGTGAGAGGTGGTATGGGAGATCTAGCTAAGTGAGGAGTGGGAGCTGGTATGGGAGATCTAGCTAAGTGAGGAAAGAGAGGTGGTATGGGAGATCTAGCTAAGTGAGGAGTGAGAGGTGGTATGGGAGATCTAGCTAAGTGAGGAGTGAGAGGTGGTATGGGAGATCTAGCTAAATGAGGAGTGAGAGGTGGTATGGGAGATCTAGCTAAGTGATGAGTGAGAGGTGGTATGGGAGCTCTAGCTAAGTGAGGAAAGAGTGGTGGTATGGGAGATCTAGCTAAGTGAGGAGTGAGAGGTGGTCTGGGAGATCTAGATGACTGGGGAGTGAGAGGTGGCAAAGAAGATATGTCTGACTACGGAGAGCAGTAGAAGATGGACATATGACTGTCAAGGAATTGAAGAAGTAGAGGAAAGGATACAGAAAGTAGTGACGGCTGGGAAGACAAAGGAGACAAGGAGACAATATTTATGGAAAAAATCTGAAAATCTAAATATGTCTGAATGTTAAAGGAAGGGGCAGGTCAAATGTCTGAAAGAGGAGGGAGCGAAATGAATGACAGAACATGTAGCTGCACTAGAGATGAAGAAATAAGGAAACGAGATTATAGGATACACCAAAGATAGGTAAAGTAGATTTTTGTCTATAATAGATGGATCCTTGCACTAACACTGATTTTACACTTAAATTGTCTCTGTTGCCAAAAATACACTTTATCTGACCTGATTCAATGTATTTTGTTGTTTTTAAATCTCTGTTTACTTTTTTTCTGAGTGCTATATTTTTCATTAAAAAAAGGTAAGGAAATGTAGGAGAAAATAAATAGGGAAATGTAGTGAATACGTTTCCCTATGTATAGTAGTTAACTTGACAAAATCTGACAATGGGAGAGCTTATAGGAAGGCATTGTTTCAGGTGCCAGTCAAATTTACCCACAATCCATCAGTAAAAAGAATCTCGAGGAAGGACAAACAGCAGACATCATGAACAGAGGAGAACAAAATGGCTGCTCCCAGGTATTATGATTGGGCACAAAGAAGAAAAACATTTAAAATATAAATAAAGGCAAGTAGTAAGAAGGGGAATATAATCATTAAGATTTTAACTGGCATAGGAAAAGCAAAAAAGAAATATGACATGACCACTTTAAGGTTTTCTTTGAAGTTTCAAAATAGGTTTCTTCTACATTATCACTGACATTATTGTGTTTTATGAAGTATACATTCTTCAATACTTTCTGTTATTTTGAGACAGAAACTGACATTTTGAGAAACCTCTGTTCCACTGACAGTCATCCCTTTTATGCAGCATTCTCTAAGGTCAGTTACAAACCTTAAGACCAGTGGTGTATCCTGGTTTTGTGCTGCCCTGTGCGGGCAGCTTGCGAGGGAGCTCTTCCTCTGAGCAGTCTGCTCAGCTCCCTCGCTCGCCGCCCACAGAGTGAGGCTGGGAGCCGGAAGATGACGTCATATTCCGTCTCTCAGCCTCACTCTGCGGCGCGCGAGGGAGCTGAGCAGTCAGCTCAGAGGAAGAGCTCCCTCGCCAGCCGCCCACACAGCAGCCAGCGCCG